CCTCTCCCTGCCAGACATCGTGGGGCGCACCGTGCTCGTCGTAGAAGACACTCTTGTGGGACACTCTTGTGGGAAACTCTTGTAAAACACTCTTGTAGGACACTCTTGTGGGACACTCTTGTGGGACACTCTTGTAGGACACTCTTGTGGGATACTCCTGTAGGACACTCTTGCGGGACACTCTTGCGAAACACTCTTGTGGGACACTCTTGTAGGGCACTCTTGTGGGACAGTCTTGTAGGACACTCTTGTGATCTCTTGTGGGACACTCTTATAGGACACTCTTGTGGGACACTCTTGAGGGCCACTCTTGTGAGACACTCTTGTGGGACACTCTTGTGGGACACTTTGGTGGAACACTCATACGGGACACTCATACGGGACACTCTGGTGGGACACTCTGTCTGGGTCAGTGCCTGCATAGGACACACGCTTCGAGGCTGCAAGACGAGCGCTTCGTACGAGACTTCCTCCAAAGGTCACACGTCAAGTCTCCAAAACGAGCGTTTCGTACGAGACTTCCTCCAAGCGTCACATGTCAAGTCTCCAAAACCCAAAACGAGCGTTTCGTACGAGACTTCCTCAAAAACTCACATGTCAAAGTCTGCAAAACGAGCGTTTCGTACGAGACTTCCTCCAAAAGTCAAGCGGAAACACCCATCGGAGCACACACATCACGCAGCCCTGCCAAGCAGTTTCGCGATTCCAGCCCCTCCAAACAACACTCGCTCACACGCCAATCCCAATGGGACAACGACAGTCACCTCTACCACAACTCACAACCTCACGATTCCTTGCGCCTGCCACGCATCTTTCCGCGTCCACACGTCTAACGCGCACAAACTATTGCGGCTGCCACGCAATGTCACGTCCGTCACACCTCGCAACCTCACGATTCCCTGCGCCTGCCACGAAAAGCACACTTCCACGCCTCAAAGCCCGCACAAAGTACTGCGCCTGCCACGAAAAGTGACAATATCATCTCATGTGAGCTTCAACAAAATTTGCACCACACCACACGATTGGAATGATTTCGATCCGTTCTGAGCACACTCCCATCCACCAAAATCGCCATTTCAGATGAGACTTGTCACGAAAACAGAGCTTCGATGCCACACCCTGAAACGCAAATCCCAATGGCACGGCCACATCCCACACCCCAAAAACACGACTCTCCAAACGCTAGTCCCAATGGAACTGCGCAGTAAACTGCAGGTCTCACAAAACTCCACACTTCAACGTCTTACATTTCCACACGATTCCTCGCTATTTCACACGAATCTGACACGTCACGTTTCACCCAAAACCCTCTCCAAAAGCTTCCCCCAATGGCAGCGCCTTAGCGCTCTACTGCGAACGGTTGCGGACGGTTGCGGACGGTTGCGGACGGTTGCGGACGGTTGCGAACGGTTGCGAACGGTTGCGGACGGTTGCGAACTTAGAAACAACGGGTCGCAAACAACGCTCTACCCCCAAACCCCCAGAGTTAAACGAGAACCCTTCGCTACGCATTCGGGAAAAAGGCGAAACACGCGATGTGTTATGTGATGTTGCGCAGCCAGTCAAATTCTCCTCACCCGGCCTCACCCGCTTTGATCGCTGAATGTGCCCGGACGCCGGAAAAAAATGTTGGTTTCCTGAACATACCTCATTCCCAATTGCAGGTCCGCACTGGTTACCAGGCCGCCGTTGTAGTGGGCCGGCTTTTGCTGCAGGTCCGCGTTGCTGGATACCGACCAGCTGCGGCTCCACCGCTCACTGCTCCTCTATCAAGGGTCCGCGCTGGTTACCGGGCCGCCCTCCGCAGCTGGCTGCTCCTCTGCAGGTCCGCACTGGTTGTCGGGTCGCCGCAGTGTCTCCACAGCCGGGTGCTCTGTAAAGGGTCGGTTGTTGCTACGGTCCCGGGTCCGGCAGCCTTGGGGTCGCCACGATTCCTCCACAGCTTTCGGCTGCTCTGTTGAAGGCCGGCTGTTGCTGCGGTCCGCGCTGGTTACCTGGGGCCGGGTCGCCACTGTTCCTCCACAGCTGCCTGTTGCTCTGTAGAGGGTCGGCTGCAGGTCCGCACTGGTTACCGGGTCGCCGCGGCTCCTTCACAGCTCACTGCTGCGCTGTAGACTCGCCGCGATTCCTCCACAGCTGCCTGCTCCTCTGTAGAGGGTCAGTTGCTGCGCGGCTCCTCCACCTGGTGTCGTATGGTTGCGTCGAGGCTGTGGCACACAGTGCGGTGGCAAAAATGCGTTTTGCCATGCGGTGTGGCTCGGCCTCGGTGCGGCGTGCCGCTGGTGAGCAAAAGGATTTTGGTGTTCATTACATAACGCGGCTTGGAGTGGCATGGCCGGTTTGGGGTGTCGGCGGAAAGTGCGTTTGTGTGGCTCCGTAGGAAACACAGTGTGCTGAGCGCCATTTGAAGAGCGTCCAAGGGATGCTCTCCATTCAGTCCCTTCCTGCATTGCAAAAGAGCCATTCGCATTGCATGGCCGGTGTTGATGATCGAGTCCGATCACTACTTAGCTGGAGCACTTTGCAGTTGGGATCTTCCTCGTTGCTTTCGATGTATTATTCGTGATGTTCCACTTCCAAATCGACGCTGGTCACAGCCAAAATCAGCAGCTAGCTAAGCTAGCTAGGATCTATTTTGTCATGGACGGTGTTCAGCTGCGGAGATTGCAATGTGTGACTACAAGTTGCGATGGTCATGTCAACTTTAGCATACTGTAGCCAGTTTACCCTCGCTGCACGGTAATCCCAAGCACGGTCGCGTCACCGTCTGCGGTCTGCTGCGGTTTGGTGCGGGCGCGTCAAATACCACTGCGGTTGTGGTGCCTCTCGCGGGGGATCTCATGCCTCCACGCGGGGGAGATGTAGAGGTCCGAGTCTGGAAAGGCCTGTTTGCGCACATGAAACCACTACTGCCGTACGCCGCCGAGAAAGGTGCAAGACCAAGTCTTCAAGTCAGTGCAAAACAAAAGGAACCTTTTGCTGCCGGCAAGGTGAAAGGAAGCATGAGAATTTAAGATGTGATAAAGCGCCATTGGTTACATGGGGTCACAATTCATCGCGTTGTCGCCATGAACAGCACAATCAGGAACATTGGTCAAAGCTCTTTAAGGAAGAAAGGGGAAGTGAGGTATCCAGTAGAGCAGCCAAACGGATGGACGCGCGGGACAAACGTTGCGCCGTCCCATGCCAGCGGAACCGAGGGGAACCAAGCGGTTCCGCACTGCCCTTTTTCCATGCAGGGTTGATTGGGTTAGACTGGAAGGCATGAGGTTTCCGTCGGGGAAGCTCCACCGCGGCGAAGAAGGGAGAACGAGATCGACGGCGCATGGCAGACGTCGATGCGATGTATCAAGAGGGGTCCTCCCGCAAGCCAAACAGCTAGGTAGACCCACACTGTCTCTACCAGGCTGCAATATCTGGTTTTGGAGGGGTGAGTAAGAACTCAAACGCATGGAAGCACCACACCAGTGACTGTCGGTGGCTCCTCTTTCAGCTCCTGCTGTGCCACCTTTGCTTGAACTTCTGCATCCAAAGCAGCTTGCCGCAGGTGAACATCCCTTGGCGCTCCGAGAAGTGCGAAAGCTATGCCAAACCGCCACAAAACCAAAAATGAGGAACTACCTGTGCCTCAAATAGACTGACTGAGGCGTTTTGCTGCTCAATGTAGAGAGGACAATATGCACCTACAAAACTATGTAACCCGTCGACCACACATGGATGTGGAAGACACTTGCACTATATCATAGATGTTGGGGTGTATTGTCGAACCATGGGGTGTGTGTATAGATGTTTGCCTTCACCTCTCTATCTGTCCCTCTCTGCTTTTAATTTTTCAGAGTGCTACCGAACGAAAAACTGAACGGAAAATACTCTAATACGACTTCGACCAAACACTCCGGTCGCGCTTCACCGAACAAAACCGCTCCGGCCCCATCAAGCGAAATCCACACGGACGGCGAAAACACTCGGCGACCAACCCGTGGAAGCAGCGCGTTCACGGCGTCGTCGGCAGCGGAATTCCGATCGAACCCGTGGGCGTGGGAATGACGCATCTCACACCGTTTGAATGCGTTTGGTTGAGACGGAAAGCTTCTGGTGAAAGAACATGTGTGCATCAACTCACCCTTCAAATCCCACCAGCTGCGTCAACTCCTTTTCCTGCCGCATCCACTCGCTCCTCAGAAAGATCTTCCTCCCCACTCAGACATCTCCTCGGCTGGTTGCACCGGTGAGTCCCGTAGAAGAACGGGCAAAGCTGGCTTTCTGACGGGGAAAGTGTTTGTTGGTTGGACAATTGCGTAGTACCTCAATGCTGCCAGAGCCATTGAGGCAACTAAACTTGACACACAGGATGTGCAGGAACTTGGACTAATAAACTCTTCCTCTCAACATGTGCTGAACACCTGATGAACAAGTCCGCTAGAAATGAACACAAGCAACTGGAATGCAGCCATGGCCACTCGTTGCTATATTCACTACCCCAAATTGGGATCGGATAGCGCAACAGCAGGCAACGGGCACTGTAAGGAAGAAACAAAATAGAACGTGGAGAAACGACACGACAAAAGCAAATCCAGTAGTCATAATGATGGAAACAGCTAGGACCACTAGGAAAGCAGTGGCATAACAAGTGAAGTCCAATGGTTTATCATTTTAACCTTGACATTGCCCGTGTGTTGCAGCCTTGTGCAGTGGAACTTAGGATCCCTATGATTTATTGGCGCGGCGGCGCGGGCATGATTACCTCGGGTCGAGTCATATTCACAAACAAGGCAAATTGCCTGCTCGTACACTAACAACAATTTGTCCACACTTCTGCACAAGCTTCTTCAATAGCCACCTTCTTGCTGGTTGTAGCCCTGGTTGTAGCCCTGGTTGTAGCCTTGATTATAGCCCTGATTGTTGTCGTAGCCCTGGCCCTGGTTGTAGCTATACTGCTGCTCCTCCTGCTCTGGAGGTGGCATCATTGGCACAACCTCTTCCTTTGGCTCATGCACAACGACGTTGTCGGGCAATTGCATCTTTGGTCCCATCTTGCCTGCACCAGAAAAACAACACATTGCTTTCATCATTCATGTAATTCATGTATACCCTTCACACCGCGCACCTACATAGCTCCATATGTTACATGAGAATCGATTGCGTACCACACGACTTGAAATGCCCGGTTAAGCCTTCAGGATCGTGCGACATCATGATCTTCACCTCAGGAGTTGAAGGCAGAACATTCAGCATTTGCTTTCAGGAGTCAAGCAGCCTATACGATAACTAAATTGCTTGAAGCAAACTCTGCAAGAACCTGTTCATGTCTACTGCAGCCCAGCAACCTTAATGCCGATGGTACCCTGACGCATCTGCACGTGCCGAACTGCCTCTGAGATGTAGTGTCTCTTGGGCTCTCCCGTGGAGATCAGGTAGCCTTGTCTAAACTTCATGGCCTGGCAGGTGTCCAACTACTCCAGTTCCTGGCCTCCTTGCCTTTGCATGTTGTTACAGAAGTGGTTCCCATATGTTCCCATCATCTGTTTTGTTCCTCTCATCTCGAAAGCTACTCTAAATCAAACTATCTCAAAACACGAATGATGAATGTCATAGCTCCGGATACAGCCTTGGCTCGCTGGGCGCGCAACTTGCCGCTGATGATGACCTCTACTCCCTTGGCGCCGTTCTCCATGATGAATCTGGGCAACAGTCCAACTTTTCCCTGCTGTTTGTGGAACAGGGGATTGCATGAATCACGAACACGGTGCGTTGGCTTCACGCCACAAGTTGAATTTGTCCCAAGGATTCCAAAGGTCTATACCAAACAAGTCTGCAAAATGCACCGTTAATTCATTGCATGACATCCAACCTCTGCTGAAGTGAAGAGGTTGACTTCGCAACAGCAAACGATAGCCAAACACAGCTCTGGATGCATTTTCACGCCTCAGCACTCCGTAGCAGGCACGGCGCACTGCAAGGCCACCAATCAGCTTGAAGCGCAAAGACTCACACTGAGCCTCGGCCAGGACTAGCCACTTAATCACTGCATGAAACATGAGGGGAACTCACAGAGTGGCAGTGACGACCCTTTCTTTTCCTCAAATGAAAGGAGTCTGCGAATCAAGCTGCACCTGTCACGCTCTAAGAGACATGAACAGTAAGTTAATGAGTGTTATAAAATAACACTGGGTATTAGTCGTGGTAGTAAACACACGGACCAGCTTGGAAAGTCATCTTTGATGAACTTAACATACCACCCGGCACAGGAGTGTGTATGAAATCCCGACTAGACCCCCACACCCTATAGAGCCCGAAGGGGGTGTAAGGGGGGGGGGGGGGGGGAAAACAAAGCTTGCCCTGATCTTGAGCCAAAATGGCATCAAGATCAGGAGTTACCCCTACATGTTTCAAATCCCAAAATGTCCCTACCCAACCATCCATTCATTTTGGGGAGATAAGAAACATGAGGGGAACTCCCAGAGTGGCAGTGACGACTCTTTCTTTTCCCCAAATGAAAGGAGTCTGCAAATCAAGCTGCACCTGTCACGCTCTAAGAGACATGAACAGTAAGTTAATGAGTGTTATAAAATAACACTGGGTATTAGTCGTGGTAGTAAACACACGGACCAGCTTGGAATGTCATCTTTGATGAACTTAACATACCACCCACTGTCTCTAAAATCACCCACTGTCCATGGTCTCTAAAAAGCGGGAAAGGTGTGCAGGGTGACACACGGACCGGAGTCCGGGTAGTTAACCTCTGACACATCACAAGGTTGTGACCTGGTCCAAGCGTCACAAACCCCCTCTCGGGAAAGGCCATCCGAGGGGTTACTCTCTGAGTCCACCCACTCGATCCAGACACGAATCCTAAATCGTTGAAAGAGAAAATGTGCTAGCTGGACCAAAGTGTGGACATCGATTTGGGAGCTGGATAAGGGAAGCCACAGCTGCTTCATTATCGATGAACCATAAGACATCCTGGTGGCGCAAGGATGCCCCATGAAACCAAGGCACCAACAAGCCACACAGGGTCTCGCCCGGATAAATCTGTTGTGTGTGGTCTTCCCAAGTCTGAATCACCTCCTGGGGGACAACGCAGGTCAAGCCCTGTGGTCGGTTCGACTGTTGGAAAATAACCCAGCCAACACGTAAACTGCCACGCTCAAATGAAGCGTCAGAGTAGACAATGACGGGTTAGCAAGGTAGGACATCCACATCACGGGGGCCTGGGCATGCCACAAGGGCTGCTAAGAGCCGCAATGCGACAGCATCCTCAGGGGACAGAACATGTGAGGTAGCGGGCCTGCGATCCTACCTGCTTGACCAGCGCACATGCTAAACATCCAGTTCAGGTCGCCCCGGAGCTTGCCAGCTTCGTCGGGGGAGATACTATTGAAGTCTCCAACATGCACGGAAGACCTTAAGTAATGACGGTTACGGCCTGGAGCAAAGGATTTGGCCGCTTGTGGAGGGGCTCCCATAAGTTGAAAAACCAGTTGGAGTCCGCGCTGCGAGACATCCGCATGGTGCACAAAATCAACTGCGAGTTCATCGTCAAAATAGGCGGCGCACAGGGATAGCGCGCAGCGTCGTGCAATCGCAATACCCAACTGGGGGAAACGGTTGAAACTGACAACTGCACTTTCTAATCCATAGGCTAAACCGTACATGGTAGTGAACCGCCAGCCTTCGTCAAGTACAAAAACTGCCACATTGGAAAACCGCAAGTGGTCATCTTGGACTGGAAGGCCTCGATATGCGTCAGGCAAGTCGTCAGTGCCCAAACGCAAATCAAGCCACTCAGGAGGTTCACACAGGTGGGTTTCCAAGGTAGTATTGACCATACGGGCAACTGAGGCCACAAAATCCACATTAACAGTTGAAATAGTCTCCTGCATAGACGTGTGAATATTGTGGCCACTCTTGCGGGCATTATCAATGACACGCTGCTTGCCGTCAGGTTGAACAATGAGAAAACGTTCCACGGCTCTCCAACCACCAACACCAAAGAGATCGTTCATAGCCTGCATAGTTTGCAACGGGCTGCAGAAACCTTTTACAATCTCTTCTTGAGTGACGGACAAAATTTCTTTGGCATGGAGGGGGGGTCGACTACGGATCAACCGCTGCACGTCTGCTGCTGAAGGCCCCAACCATTCAGCCAGAGGTAACTTGTCAGCCTGTTGGATACCCCTAAACACCCCCGATGCTCAAGCCGAGCCTCTGTAAGGTGCCCAGGGCCCTGCATGATTTGGTCTTTCAGTTGCTGGAGCCGTACGGGGTCACCCAACTCCTCCCAAGTCACACCAAGCTCCTCGAGGTTCAGGAACTCGCTCAGGAGGATGTCGAAGAGGGCCTGGGTCTTGGTGGCCCGCTTGGCCTCTCCCTTAGTGCGCGGGTCAGAGGCCAGTCAACAGCATAGGCCCTGGAACCCTGTTGCCAGGAGGTCCAGCCCCTGTAGGTGCCACCACCATGGATGTAGTCTCCACGACCGGCAAGCGGTTCCCTGCTACGGCCCGGGCCACGCGACGAATGTGGTCATGGGCCCTGCGAGCTGCGAGCGTCCACAAGGCGCTAACCTGAAAAGCTTCTTCGGCATCATCCAGGGGCCCCTGAAGACGTTCCAGCTCAGCCACCAATTCATCCCCATGCGACCAAATACCAAACACATCCTGGCATGTTTGTACACCGTTGTGGCAAAACAATTGCACCAGTGCTTCCGAATGATCTGCAACCAGGTCCAACAGCTCCTCCTCCATAGCTTGATCCGGTTGGCGCACTGTCAAAACCGGGGTACGGCCACGCCCAGGAGAGTGGGACGGGGACCGAGGCCGTGTCAGACGGAGTGGAGGGGGCTCTGGGGGGGGTCATTGGTTGCTTGCGGTTGGTCAGTCGTGGCGGAGCCACTGGGATGCTTGGATGGCCTGGGACAAGTGCTCCCGGATGAGGTCTCGGGCCTGCTAAATTGTGACGCCGAGGACTTGGAAGACCGCGGCAACGGAGGTCGAGCCGGTGGCAGCTTCGAAATGGGATGGATTGGTCCAGTCCCTCCAGCCGGCGATCTCGATCGCGTCCTCGGAGTCCCGGCTGCCTTGCTCGATGTACGCGGCATGACCGTTCGCCCAGGTCACATGGCGACACCTACACTGGTCACAAACCAGATGTAGGTGATCGCATTCAGCGCACACCGCCCCCAACCTCTCCGGAAAACAAAACTTGCCCTGATCTTGAGCCAAAATGGCATCAAGATCAGGAGTTACCCCTACATGTTTCAAATCCCAAAATGTCCCTACCCAACCATCCATTCATTTTGGGGAGATAAGAATGACGATCTCTTTATCACCATACTAACAGCATCAACACTGCACGTACTATCACCATCTCTCTCTCTCTCTCTCTCTGTCTCCCTCTCTCTCTGTCTCTCTCTCTCTCTCTGTCTCTCCCCCTCTCTCTGGTGTTCAACACGAACCTATGGTCTCTGCGTCTTGACAAGTTGCCATGGCACAGCTGGCACGGTTCTCGACTCGTTCTGCGAAAAGCTCCACGCTGTTCCTTCGAGCTGAGAGATTCGCATGGATTGGTGAAAAAAAAAGTTTTTCAGGTTCATGTTCTCGAAAGCAGAAAGTGTCCCACAGTTTACCTCACCACACTTGGGGATAGATATGTTGCTTGAGGCACAGCTATTGACCTTCTTCCTGTGGTCAGTCAGGCTGTCTAGGGTACTTTACAACTATATAATCTTAATTAAACAATATTAAACAATCTTAAACATGAACAACTCATGACAAGCCTGTCTGTCTTTTTCCCCAATGCACACGGATAAGAAAGCCGCAGCCCAAGCGGCTCGGGAAAGCCGAAGCGCTTCTGCACCAGGGCAGTGAGCTCACGAATCCGACGCCCCTTTTCACCAAGGACCTCTCGAGTCCTGCAGAGACCGCATTGCCTTTTTCTCGCGAAAACCGCTTCATGGCGAAATGGACGAAAACACGTCAAGAGTCAAGTGGCGTCGGCTTCTGGAGGGTCACGTTCACTGGGTGAGTCACCCCAAAGGAATGAACAGAATCGTCTGCCAGCAAAGTCAACCTGTGCCTTTGGGTGGGTTTCGACTCAAGATGCGAAGCTCAACAGCACCAAATTCTAGTCGAAAGGAAAAGTGATGGGCCCTTGGGTCAGGAAGATGTCGGCTAACCCACAAAACAAGGACCTCTTGGAAATATTCAACAAGAACAAGCCTGGCGCAAGCAGCCAGACCGTTTCATTCCATGCCATATATGATGTACAGTATGGTCTATACCTCTGCAGCGCCTCCATTTATTGGATATTGGTTTTGCTGCAGGCAGTGTCGCCTCACCTCTGGCAGAGTTCTTCCATCCCGCTCCTGGTGGCGCGGATGATGATCTCCGTGCGGATGGGGGTCACACGCACTTCCACACCGGCATAGCCGTCTTCTCCCAAGGTGCGTGCCAAGAACTCGTTCAGCTCGGCGTTGAACACGCCTCAGAAGGGCAACACGAAGGCGTTGAGGGTGGTTGTCAATTGAAAACTTGAAAGTGGCAAAGGATCCAGTGCTTTGGAAGTGTATGAATTCTCAGCTACTTAGGACTTAACTTTAATCCACACGTTCAGTTAAGGCACCATCGGCCACAAATTTTCTTTTCTTGGAGACTTGTGTCTGGCTCATGGCTGTGAGGAGCGTCAACAAGGCGGACTTGAGCCGGAACACCCTTTGGAGGAAGAAAAGCAAGCGCAAACATAAATAGAAGCCATGATGCAGCTACAAAAACTGGCAATACATCCACCTCGGATGTTGTCATTTTGGGTGACCAGTCATACCCTGCCAAAAGCAACAGGTGCTACTGGAGGCTGGAGGGCACTTCTGTTACCACCCCTTTACCAAGGATATGTAAGGATTCAGGATGGGCCAAGCCATCGCAACAAATACATGTTGCATCATGTTGCCAACTCCAATATCTAGCTGCACTGATGCACTCATGACAAACCATCATCACGTTGGGAAATGGGCAATGAAAACGTTTGCAAACGTTGGGGACGCCACGTTTGGGGCCGGGATGGCTCCTTTTTGCCAAATCCGCACATGTCACCGCACCGAGCTTGAGCGTTTGAGGCGTGGTTCCTTTCCTCCGATCCTCCGATCGCATGTCGTGAACCGGGCGAAGAGTCGCATAAGACATGAAAAAGTGACTCCTGACATGAAGCACTGAAAATATATCCACTGCATGTCAAGTTTCAATAGCCGCCTTCCTGCTGGTTGTAGCCCTGGTTATAGCCCTGGTTGTAGCCTTGATTATAGCCCTGATTGTTGTCGTAGCCCTGGCCCTGGTTGTAGCTATACTGCTGCTCCTCCTGCTCTGGAGGTGGCATCATTGGCACAACCTCTTCCTTTGGCTCATGCACAACGACGTTGTCGGGCAATTGCATCTTTGGTCCCATCTTGCCTGCGCCAGAAAAGCAACACATTGCTACGATCATGCATGTATACCCTTCACACTGCGTACCTACATAGCTCCATATCTTACATGAGAGTCGATTGCGTGCCACATGATTTGACATGCCCGGTTAAGCCTTCAGGATCGTGCGACATCATGATCTTCACCTCAGGAGTTGAAGGCAGAACATTCAGCATTTGCTTTCAGGAGTCAAGCAGCCTATACGATAACTAAATTGCTTGAAGCAAACTCTGCAAGAACCTGTTCATGTCTACTGCGGCCCAGCAACCTTAATGCCGATGGTACCCTGACGCATCTGCACGTGCCGAACTGCCTCTGAGATGTAGTGTCTCTTGGGCTCTCCCGTGGAGATCAGGTAGCCTTGTCTAAACTTCATGGCCTGGCAGGTGTCCAACTACTCCTGTTCCTGGCCTCCTTGCCTTTGCATGTTGTTACAGAAGTGGTTCCCATCATCTGTTTTTGCTCCCGTCATCTCGAAAGCTACTCTAAATCAAACTATATCAAAAAAAGAATGATGAATATCATAGCTCCGGACTCAGCCTTGGCTCGCTGGGCGCGCAACTTGCCGCTGATGATGACCTCTACTCCCTTGGCGCCGTTCTCCATGATGAATCTGGACAACAGCGCCAGTAGAGTCAAATGTGGGGCAGCGCTCTTATGATTGATTGAATGTAAATGTAAATGCGGCTGTGTTTCAAAATGAGTAACTAGATCGAAAAAATGACTTGCAAACATGTTCCCTTCTGCCAGGCATTTTCCAGCGTCTTGCTTTACACAAAACCAGCTGGGCTTGCTCACGTCCCCACCTGAGCACACCATAGCAGGCCCGACGGACTGCGAGGCCACCAATGAGCTTGAAGCGCAAGGACTCGCACTGAGCCTCGGACTTTGGAGCTCGCTGAGTCGATGACGGCTCCGTTGAGACACTGACAATGACATACGGCAGAACATGAGTGGGTTGAGCCCATCCAATTCCCAACTATTCCGCTCAACGGGGACCAGGAGCCTGAGCTAGACCTTATGACTTTCTCTTTCTGACGGTTTGCCACCTCAGAACCTTCGATTCCTCAACCGTCTCAAAATGAAAACCAAGACAAGGAGCGGTGGTTGACAACAAACAGTTCCAAAATATTCCAAAATCAAAAGCCCTTTACCAATGGTATGTGGCAAGTCCCCGTTTCTTGGAAAGACACCCAAGGACCCAAGTCTTGCCGATCGGTTGACCATTGCGCAGCTGGCGCGATTCTCGACGCGCTCGGCAAAGAGCTCGACGCTGTTCCTGAAGCAAAAGGGTTGGCTCGATCGGCAACAAACATGAAAGGAAACGAGTGAAAATCCCCGTTCACACAAATGATAAATGGGGCGGAAGGTGTTCAAGGAAATTCCTTCATAGCCCCAATGCATCAATATGTTATGTAATTTAGATTATGTAGTATCGAGAAGGGGGGAGAACCAAATAGCACAAAGCTGGCTCTCAAAGTTCTAACCACCCTGCAAAAAAGGTGGCAACTGCCTTCAATAATTAATTCTCTCCAAACTTTGCATTCCGAGACCCATGACATCCTACGAGCCCCAGCATTTCTTCGGCTTCGACTCATTCTGCCGAAGCTGCTCTGGAAAACCAAAGCGCTTCTGCACCAGGGCCGTCAGCTCGCGAATGCGCCGACCCTTCTCGCCCAGCACCTCGCGGGTCCTCCAAGTCAGGTCGGTCGCAACGACGTGGGCGAGAACGACCACGGGATGACTTGGGATGTCAAATAGTTTCAGTGTGATTCACAAACCAATCTACTGACTGGGAGAAGAAAACACCGCGTCTTCTACTTTGACTATGACATACTATGACTATGACTCCACTCAGTGGGAGTAGACCCAGCTTCCCTCCTGGTGGCGCGGATGATGATCTCCGTGCGGATGGGGGTCACACGCACTTCCACACCGGCATAGCCGTCTTCTCCCAAGGTGCGTGCCAAGAACTCGTTCAGCTCGGCATTGAACACGCCTCATCTCATGATTGGTGAGACACCAATTGCAACGACTCATCTTTAAAAAGCCTGGCCTGGGCCTGCCGAAAGAGTGCAACAAAAGAATCCGCAAAAAAGAGCGGACACTCTCTGAGAGGACCTGTCTACTTGTCCATTCATATCTTTCGACCTGGAAGATGATAACTAATTAGCATAAAACTGCAAAATTGCCAAATCTATTGATGACATGTCCTTAGTCGTGTCCTTGCAAAAACATATGTTTGTCCTGACTGTGAGAAAAAAAAACATTTACGATGTTCTCAACTGACAGGCAAAATAAGCCGAGATGCCATCAGCGACAAATTTTCTCTTTTTGGATACTTGCGTTTGGCTCATCGCCGGCGTTCGGGCGTTCGGGCAGTCGGGCGCGTGGTGGGTGATCTGCAGATTTGAGCCGAATTGCCCTTTGGTTCAAAGATCTGCCAGCCGCACAATGTCATGGATTTGCTTTTCTCAACCTTCCAAACAGTCGAAACATTTCAGGACCATACCAAAACGCTTGGTCACACCTCTTCTGGCAGTAAACAAAACTTTTATATCGTGTTTAAGGCGGTTCCAGCTGCCAGCAACCAACACTGCTGCCAAGTCTCTTGTTTTGAGATTTTGCTTCTTTTTCATTCCTCGTGCACGGATGTTGTGACCCACAACCCAAAACCGGACCGCCCTGCCCCCCCCGACTGGGCGGTCGTTCTGCTGAACCGTTTCGGAAACAAAAACACACGATTGTTCCATTCGTCCACTGCTGCTACAGCAGAAAAACAAATGCCAAAGTTTCCGCGTGTCCGAAACAGTGCTCTTCCATTGAGCAGAAACAAAAGACTGTGGACTAGGGGTGCTTTGGAAACAAAATGAAACAAATCTCCAGTTGTGCGAATCTGGAAGTCCCTTCACGGTTCTTGCCCCTCGGGTTGCCGTTCAAGGACGAGATAGGATAACTCCACGCAAAAGTTCGGATGGATCGGATCATTTTTGGACGAATATGAGCGGCAGCTAAACTCACTAGCGCTGAATACTTGAGGGATCTTGAACGTAAGGGACTTGTATTGAAGCTCTATGCGGTTGAAAAATACTACATGCACTTTTGATGTGAGCAGCCAAATATGTTTTGTCGTGGTCTCGTTGCTCAGTCACACCTTCTCGTTGAGATGGGAGTCCTTGCTCTCAGACTCCAACTGTTGCAAAATCAAATCTGGAATGTTGTCTGGCACACCAAGTATCATGATTAACCGGTGACAGTGACCAACCTCGAACCCAGGACCGATCCCGGGACCAAGCGAATCCCCGCGACAGAAACTAGAACTCTTGGCCAAATTGTGCCAAACAAACAAATCCACTCACCTTCAACGACCAAAATGTCAGACAGGTGGGCCCTGAACAATGCGGAGAGTCGGAGAGCTGAGAGCATTCAGTTGGTCATCCGTTTTTGAGTGTTTTTAGATGATTTTAGCCTGCCCTCCCCCCCCTCCCCCAAAAAATAAAACAAAAGTCACAAACGCATGTATGCGCGATCAATATTCAATGGTGCA